GAAGTCACTGTCAATATGCCTTTTTGCAGGACAAACTCATAGGAGTATAGTCAGGAGAGTTACACAGGCCCTGTGAAGCAGATCCCCAAAGGCACTTAGACACCTAGTTCCTAGTGATTTTGCAGTAGACATCTAAGTCCATTTGAGAACCTGCACCTTAGTTCAGTAGAGCCAACCTACCCTGCAGCAAGTTTTCCACTGCTGCTCTCCCAGGGATCTAGGCATTCAAAATATCCTGTTACTGCTTTCCCTGATTAAATGAACTGAAGCAATGAGGATTCATTGCCTGCATCCACTATCAGAGCAGGCATCATGCAGAAATACTGGACAGAAACAAAAAGTGATGTAAGGATTAATTATGGAAAAATAGCCATTAAAATGGCTCAGACATGAAGCATAGCTCACCGTAGTCCATCCTATCTGTGGCCCTAAATCTTTAAAGTATAAGGTAGCAGTTGTGCCAACAGGGAGGTGCTGCAGGATTTCCTCATCCCTCAGGGACTTTCCTTCTGAGAAGGAAAGAAGTAATTACATCTCAGTGAAATTCAGGGCAACTTTGGTAGCATACTAGCTTCATATAGTGCTTTAACCAATCTGTGAGATTCTTTGACGTGACATGGGTTTATTGGAATCTCAATAAACAAACTAAGAATGTTTATACCTAATTTTGATTTATCCCTGTAATCACATATAAGCCTGGATCCTCTAGTCACACCAAGAGAGTTATGAGAATACGCAGTCCTATGTGCCTCCCTACTCCAGTAGACTTGCTTCATCACTGCTACAGCAGAATTTGCTGATGAGTCACTGGCCTTTGTTATGGTTCACTGACCTCCTGGTCAGCTGCACCTCCATCTCTCTCCTCATCGCTGATTGTCAGACAAACAAGCTAGGATAGGCTGAGATTGGAAGGCTCTCCTACAGAAGTTTTCATTGCCTCATTTTTTTCCAACTAACCAGCCAGGAGGTGATTCCACAGGACTTGGGCTAGTACTCAAGCTTTTAATGCCAAATTTTCAGGGAATCTCCAGAAAGCCAGCATTTTCTCATGGCAAGTCTCACAATATAAGTCCATGGAAATCTGACAAGGTAGATGTTAGAAGGAAGAAATAAGATACTCATACACCTGTTTTCCATGGACAGATTCTACACAATGAACTAATCTTCACCAGCATACTTTTATACTTTTAAGGGACTGTTTAAATAAAATCATGCTCAGTGGAAGCAAAAGAAGAAAGTGCTACATTTCACACTGAATGCTAAGATGAATTAACACAGTTTGGCAATTAAACTTTCTTTTGCGCACCCAGGCCATGTACTAAGCGGCTTCTTGTAGCAATACCTACAACTGCATTAATGAAGTCTGCCAGCTGGCATTAGCTTTGTCAGCAAATCCTACATCCATGGCAACGTGTTTTGCATTAGCTTATCTCAAAAGAATGGTAATTCCTGCCTAAGAACAGAAGATATGTGAATTGATAGCTCTAACTCATAGCCCTTTTCAGCACTCCCAGCTGAGCATCACTGTGGAGATCATTTCACTGCAGCTAAGGGAAATTAGTATCTAGATTCTGTGCTGCCTGTCTTGAAAACTGAAGTGCTCACTAGTTAGAAAGTGCCTTGGAACAATGTGCAGACTCTGGAGTTAATTACCAAGCACCAGGCACATGGGTTGAACTCTCTTCAATACTTTCAAAGAATTAAATTTGTTCTGGATTCTCTTCAGCCTTCATTGTGCTAACTAACATAGCTGGAAACTCATGATGAAGAACTAATACCCATGCAAAGTACACCTTTTATGCCAGGTCCCTGCTCAGAGCTTTGTTATTCTAGTCCTCACAAGTACTTACTTGGATCAAGTTTTATCGACTGCCTTGCTGGATACCACCGAGGATCTGTAAGACCACACAGAATTGTGTGATATACAATGTTTGTTTTAGATCATCCACTACTATAGTGAATGCAACACAACAAGATAAGATTTAGTTAAAGATTTTTAGGAATATTTATTCAACATTAATATCTGTGAGAAATTATGCAGCAGAAAAAATGCAAAGTCATATCAAGATAGTATAAAAATGATACTGAAATCTCACTGTGATTGCATTCCTGTGCAGGTTACTTAGCAGTATGTGTGTGTACATCACATGTTTCAAATTTTGTGATTTTCTCCTATTTATATACTGAATATTCTGATATGATATGAACTGTTGCAAAAGTTATACTCACATAATTTATGGAACATCGATCTGATTTCCCTAATTGTGGCATTTGGTTCCACCTAGGCAACAAAAAATATTGCATATGTAAGATACATATTTTGAAAGACAACTAGTAGGTGCAAGACTATTCAAGTAGAAGAGTGACTAAAACATTGTAACAGTGTAACTTTCTTACAGATGGCTAGGATTGGCATGGGTGATTCAAAGTACTTCTTACAGGAAAAGGGGAGGACAATTTGTGATGTCTGTTTCAGAGCCAGCTTCTCTAGCAGGGGTCAGGAGTTACTACAACAGCAGTGACAGTTTGATGGCTTATGAGTGAGTAAGACACAACTGGCACCATCTTAGTGCAGCAGATGAAGTGCTCTTTGCCCAAAAGCTCCCTCTGGAAAAGGGCTGAAGTACTCTGTAGTCGGTGCGAAGTGTGCATAATCACTGCCTCTTCAGTGGCCAAAGAAAGGCTATCAGGAGACGAAATACCCTTCATAAACATTAAGTTTACTTAAAAGTTACTAATTTTTAAATAGTCACCTAACATTTTAAACAGATTTTTGCTTACCTTCTCTAGGAAGCATAGCTGTTTCTTTGTCTTCCAATCAAGGATTTCCACCTGATAGGATAGAAAAATGATAATTACTAATTATTGGCTAAATAATCTCTAAACTCTTTGTTGATTCTCAAATTCACAATCATTGTTCAGAGTGAGACATTGTTTTTCTCTCATCTCTGGACTGTGTTGAAAACACTTCTGATGTGCTCAAGAGACAGCTTTAATCATAGCCAGGTTCTCAAAGCACTCAACTTGTGAAAAAATAATATTCTTGCCAAATAAATTCTCTTCCTGATTACATTCAGAAGCAGAAGTAGTTAACTTATTGATCAAAACACATTGATCTGGGGTATTTACTTATGCTAGAGCAAAAGGAACAAATAAGGGATAGAGAAGTTTCACAGGAACCACTGAGGAACAGAATTTTTATAATTTGTAGAACTAGAAAGACAGTTTGAGGAAAAAAAAAAAGTGCATATATATGCATGTAAGCAAATATTCTGAGTACATACAGCTTGAAGATTAATGTGCATTGTTCCCAGAATATCTTAATTGTAAAGAGAGTGGAAAGCAGTGGTGGATATAATGAACAAATGCAGCTAAATATCTGGACATCACAAATCCTTAAGAGGTTGTTATAGGAATATTCAGGGCTACTCTTGCTTCTCAGATCACCTGTATTAGTAACTATATAATAGCATTTTATATTTCAAGCAGTGGTTTATCTACGGTGCTGAAAAGGAAAGAGCAGATTGTTTCAGTAATGAAATGGCAGTTTGGCAAAAGGTTATGATTTTAATCAACAGCCAAGCAGAAAAGTCCCCAGATATTTCAAAGCCCAATTGCAGCAGGCTAGCAAAACCTAAGATACAGTGAAGGTGTTTTAGTTTCATTTGTTCTCATCAAACACTGTAATGGAACTTTGTGGCATAGCTAAGAGTGAAAGTCCAAAGCTTATCTGTAGCATTAGATGACTGGGACTATCATTACTTAATACCAAAAGAGTTTGTTGGGTTTTTTTAAAAATAAACATCTAGCATTAATTATGTTTGGTATTAACTGGCCAAGAGGATAGATTAACATCAGATTTTAAATGTGATTCCTTACTAAAAATAGGAGTCACAGTCCAGTATCTTTCTAATAGGGTTGCTTTGAAGAGATCACTTGGTTAGAGTATCTTATTTCCTTGTTTTACTTGTCCCAAAATGTTCTTTCTCTATTGGTGCACCAATGGAGCACTTCAGCTCCAGCCAGAAGTATGAAATCTGATCTCCACAAGGAATACCAATGCAGTGGTATTTTCTACCTGTGCATTGTAAGCTCTAAGGGAGGTAAGCAGTTTTCCTCCTTTGTGATACGTCACAAGCGTGTGACAGATTATGGGGATATTATATGTTTTCCCTTCATTTTTCATATTTGAAATAACACAAAATTCAAGTTTTAACGTTTGTTTGCGGGATATCTCCATGGGAAAGTAAATGAAGTGGATTCCCTTCCCAGATGGCTATTCTTGAAATACAGCTTTCTGACTCTTGCAGTCCACAGAACAAGCACCGTGGGGGCTGTAAACTGCCGAGTTGCTACGGGATTATTGAAACCTTTGGTGTATCTCAAAGCTGTTGTGTCAATGAATACCATTGGGCTGCCCTACAGACTGTAGCAGCGCCCACAGTTTTATCAGTCTCCTTCTCATTCCATACCCACTCCCAGCATATACATTTTGGATCAGAATCCCCCAGGGGCAGTTTTAGTCTATGGCCTTCACTGACTGTATTAGAGAAATCTTCTCCAGGCCAATTAACAGAGAGGTTTGGACATCCTTCCACCACCTACACTTTTTAAATTGGATTATTCTCATTGTGCACAAGGGCAGACTGAATATTTTCTTTTGTTCTGTGTTTTTCATGGAAGTGGCTGTACAGAAATTTAGGTACTTCTATGCACCTTTGGAATCTGTGTGGAAAACAAACAAACACATAATCCAAGATCTTCTGTGTTGTTATTTGGTTCTATTCCAGCATGTCTCTTTGAAGTGCCAAACCATACCTGCCTGTACTGGCGATTTCTTCACATACCTAAGGGGAGCCTGTAGAGATGATGGATGCAGACTCTCTTGAAGGTGCACGGTGATAAGGGTGAGAGGAAAGGGACACCAGTTGCAGTACGGGAAAATCCAATCAGATACAAAGAATTTTTTCCACCATGAGCTTGGCCAAACATTGGAACAGGTTGCCTAGAAAGGATGTAGAACCTCCATCCTTGGAGGTATTTAAAACTGGACTGAACAAGATACAATGCCATTTGATCTAGTTTTATTGCTTTGAGCAGGAGCTGGACTACATGACTTCCAGAAGTCCCTTGCAACCTAAATTATTCAATGTTTCTAAATTTTTTTGCACACCCATTCCTGAAATTCAAACATTTAAGTTACTTTCATGATCTAAGCAAATATCAAACATTGTTTCCCTTTTCAGAAAGACGGACACAGGAACACAACTTTAGATTCCACTCCAGTCCATAGAAAGTTGTGCAACAACAGAATGAAAACAAAGTGACTGTCTCCTCTAATTATCACACCTCTTAGCTGTATCAGAACATTTCCCAGTATTTAAATGTTCCCTACATAAGGGACAAAAAAGCTTGATCCAAGGCAAGAAATGTTCTCTTTTCTCAACATAATGGCCACTCCCATGAACCCACGTAGCACTGAACACAGTGTTTCCAGTCTTCAGGCACAGCACCAAGTCAGTTAATGTATTGGTTGGCAACAGTTTTTAGATACCCAGCAATCTGTTCTTGGAACACTCACTGATAGCTATCATCCCTTTCAAACATAAGTTGTTTGGCCCAGAGAACTTTAATTTCTATGTGTTTTCAGACCATTTAGCACAACAGGACATTGACTGTTGGCCTGCACTAGTGCAATATGACTTACAGTCCACTTATTTGGTGAATTTTTAAAGGCATTTTAAATTACAGCTTCTCTAAAGCTACTTTGAGTAGAACTTAATCAATAGGCAGATTTGTGCAAGACAGCTATGTTAAAACTCTTTTATAAGTGACTACAAATATCTGTCTTCAGTGTTTAGAAGACAAATCTGTTCTAGTGCATAAGGATTAAAGATTGATACTGTCTTTAAGAACAGAAAAAGTCTTGACTATTACTGTTTAGAACAGGTTGAGGGCAAAGAATAATCAACATATGATATAAGCAGAGAAAAGTACATTCAACTGTGAAACTTTTATTCAGAAAATAAAAGGGGAAAATAAAAGGGGGAAGTTTATTCATTGGTGAAAAACAGTTGAGCAAACAGCGTTTAGAAATTATTTTAAGATGCAGTGTCCCTGCAATAGGATTACAAAAACATAGTCCATCAAATTCACACAGTTTAAAGTAATCAAATGCTTAAGGATCAACAGATATTCAGAAATTATAGCTATTATGGAAATACTGACATACTCATCATGCCTGTGCATCTTGGAAGTTTTATTTGCAGCCATTTGTACTCAGCAGATTCAGTAAACTATAGCTGAGTTAGATTTTGTGAGCACTGACATAAGCATCTATTGTATTGATTTCTTTTGGAATTACTCAGTAAAAAAATGCTTATTTTACAGTCTAGGAACCAACCAGCCCAAGAAAGAGTAATGCAGAATGAATCCTCCCTGAACTATTAGAGTGCTTACATAAGTCAGGTTCCTTGAAATCACACTTAAAAAAATAATCCAGTGATTGCCACAGTCCTAATTAAATATTTCTAAACATTTTATTTTTCCTATGGAATGAGTAATTTTCTCTCTCTCCTTAGGAAACAACCAGCCCAAGAAAGAGTAATGCAGAATGAATTCTCCATGAACTATTAGAGTGCATACATAAGTCAGGTTCCCTGAAATCACACTTAAAAAGAAAAAAAAAAAATACAGTGATTGCCACAGTCCTAATTAAATATTTCTAAACATTTTATTTTTCCTATGGAATGAGTAATTTTCTCTCTCTCCTTAGACTTTTCTGGTATACTGTGTTGCTCCTGAAGGAAGTAAGCATGCCTTAGCGTGATCTCACACTAGGGTATATCAAGAATAACTTTCTTGAATTCAATAGAGTTAAGCCACAGGGAAACTGCTGTAAGTGTACTTACAGTGACAACGTATCTCTCTGAAGCAATTGGCTCATATTTCATGAGACTAGAATCTCATTAGATTATTTCACTGTGTATAAATAGAAAAGATACAGTGACATCCATACTAAAAATTTTTTTATACAATTAAATTTCACTTTTGTAGAATTTAGATGTCTAACATGTACAGGTTCACAAGACACACATTAGGTACTTACTCCTGAGCTCCCTAAGTTCTGCTCCTATGCAAACCAATGAGCATCGCTGTCTGAACTGTGCTGAAACTCACAGTACACTTTTATTTCTTCCACCTGTTTCAGAGTTGTTAGTTAGGCATGCTTGCATCTAAATCCTCGAAGACCTTGATCCAGTAAGCATCTTTATCCCAAGGCTAGCACAATGCACAGCATTTAGATTATTTCTAAATGAAAGAAAACTGTCAGCAAAGGAGATGTTGTAGTTCTTCATGCCTTATATGTGATGGTTAGACACACTGCCAGGAAGTGGTACAATTATTTTAGACTGTCTTCTGCCATTACCCACTCCTCCCATAGAAGGCTTGGGTGGTTTGGGCCACCAAGCAAAGAATGAAGGTTTCAAGAGAGACCAAAGAGTACATGCAGGAGAGGACAGAGGTGTATTCCAGTGAAAAGGGCAGTCTCCTGACAAAAATAAATCCTGAATTCCTGTCTCTCTGGGCTGCTTCAGGCACTGCTCCCTTCCATTGCCATTCTGTTCAGCATTTCCCTA